CCCCCGGTGTGGTGCATGTGTTGTGGTGCGACGGCGGCCTCTGCTTTCTCGGCAGTGTGTTGTTTTGGTCGTGGAAACCAGGCCGGGTCTGCCCAGCCTCGGACGGAGCGGAGCGGCCCGGCGGCGGCGAGTTGTGTGGGAGGATATATTTTTGGCGGCTGGCCGAGCCTACCGGACCGGACCCCTGTGCCTGTGGGTGGGATGTTCCGATATCCAAATAGTTTCCGTCGAACCATGTGCCCCATCACATATGCAGCGTAATTATAGCATTTCTCCTTATAAATGGTTGCATTCCACCGAATCTTATTGAAACGGAAGTAAATAGGAAAAAGTCGCCGTGCGGGTACTATCCTGACGCGGCGAGGGTTGAGGTATATGAACGTGAGCGTGAAAGACGCTCGGGCGCGTTTCTCTGCTCCAAGTCAGCTTCACACTAAGCAAGAGCATCTGTTAGTGTTAGTCCGAGCCGCTCGCCGGCATTAACATTTAGGCTGACTCTCTCGGCGCGCCCGCATTAGTAACTGCCACCCTCCGTCATACTCTTTCGGAGGCGAGGAGAGTCGAGTTATGAGCCGTAAGAGTGTGAGGTGTGAGTGTTGAGTGTGAGCTATGGGGCGCGGCTTTCTATACGGGCGACCTCGCGCGGCCACACGGCAGTCTCCGTAGGTACGTATACGCGCCGCGGCCGTGCATCACGCGGCGGCAGGGACGCACTGCACTCGAAACGCGTTTTACTCGAAAATTTGCCAAGTGACTTCTACAGTTTTATGCTGTTGTATATTACCAAGGAATTGCTTTGGCACTACTAACTTTTTTCTGGTATTTCCAAACGTTTTCCTAGAACCACATTCATAATTAATACTAGTACCGTATTATGATACCAGGAAAACGTTTAGTAAGATAATGTTAGGAAAACGTGTATAGTAATACTTTAGAATTTCTTGGTAGTATACCACAGCACAAAACTTTAGCAGTTACTGAGCAAATTTCATAGTAAAAAGTTAAGTGTGTGCATGGGCACCGGCCGCACTTCGAGCAGAGCTTCGTTCCCGCCCTCTAAGAGCGCCTTTGCCTGCTCGTCCCTTGTTCATTCCCTTTCATTCTGGTGTCAGCCGCAACTATATACCTCACACGCGCATGCCACAATGTCCTTTTCTGTTGCCGACTTTTACTACTTTTCGAGAGTAAAACGGTTTTCTCCTCCGCGGCGGGCCGTTTTGAGCGTGTGACAGACAGGCCTCGAACGCTTTTTCCTTATTTGACGGGTTTGAGGTGGCGTCGCGTAGAGTTAGCGCGGTGAAGCCCCCCTCCCGTCCTCTCTCCCTCCCTTGCGTGGGATTGTATAGCGGTGCTTGTCTCTTCAAATCTCGGCTCCTCCATAACATCTGCTAACCGCTTTCGCAACCTCGGCCGGCAACGTCGTATAAGATATAAGAAGCCGCCCTCTTGAAGCCGCCTCCTCGCCTCGCGCCTCGCGGGGTGAGGTCAGCGTCTGACGCGTCGGCCGCCGATCTTCCTCTCGCCATTCGGCCTCGCGAGGAACGCTCTGGGCCAAACCACCAAAAAGGAGGAAACAGTGCGACACGCTACCGGCCTCGGCGCGGGACACAGAGGCACAGACGGCGGCGTCTGGCGGTTACAGGCTACACTGGGAAAACGTACAGCACATAAAATTTATTGTTGCACTTCTTAGGTATAGTTTACAACTTTACTTTGGGTGCCTTTCATATTGCTATTTTAAGTTAAATTTGGTTTGCAAAATTGTAGATTTTAATTTCAGTGTAGTGTAGCGTCCCGGCGTCCCCCGCGCCCCCTTCCCACAATCCCCTTCTCTATCGCACCCGCCGAGTCCTGACAGAGCTACACGCCGCTGCCACCCGCTTCGCATGGAGCCAGGCCATCAGCGCTGTTCGATAGCCCCACAGTGTGGATAATTTGAGGTTAAGCCCGGCCCAGCCCGGCGCGGTCGTGCAATTGCCTCGGGATTCCCGGGCGAGGAGTCGGGCCGTGCCGTACGATTGTGCGGACTGCGGGAAAATGAGCATAAGGAAGTAAATCGTAATGAAGTGAAGCCGCTGCGTTACACCTCCCCTGCTGCTCCCACTTTGTCTCAAATAATGCCTTTGTGAAAAGATTATGTAGGCCGAAAATAATACAGTAAGCCTATATACTTTACTAGGGAGCAATGACTGCTTTTGTTGTTGTATAAAAGTATATACTGCACCAAAGGTTAAAGTGCACTGAAATTCTAGGTGTGGCCGTGTTTGCACACAGAAAACTGTAGGCTCAATGTTGCAACTGCCCTAAAGTTTTTATAGTAAAAACTATT